GTAGATAATCTGCTTCATCCAAGGTCCGTCGGAGTTGGAGGGCCATCACCTTCTCAACAGCCTTCCCTAAAAAAGGGAGGTTGTAGACTGGACGATAGTTTTTAAAAATAGCTGGGTCCAGAAAAGGCTTCTTGAGGAGGGGTCTCACAACCGCTTCCTTAAGAGGACGTGGAAAGGATCCCTCCATCAAGGAGGCGTTTGTAATTCTCTGGAGCCAGCCTTGTGTCACCTCCCTGCTGGTTGAAACCAGCCAGGAGGGACGCGGATCCAGTAAACAGGTGGAGGCACTCATCGCTCCCATGGCCTTGTCCACTTCATCAGGGGTGGCAAGCTGGAACTCATTCCAGAAAGTCTGAGCAAGACCCTCTCTCGGCAACTCGGCTGGTTCTGTCCAAATGGAGTCCAGGTCTGTCCGAATCTTAGCGATTTTGTCCAACAAAAACTGAGCAAACTCCTCAGCTCGACCCTGCAAGGCATCACACGTTCCCCCCCCCCCATTCAGGAGGGAACGGGTTATCCTAAACAGGGCGGCTGGGCGCGATTCTGCAGACGCAATGAGAGCGGAAAAATGCGCACATTTTGCCGCCTGTATCACCACAAGATAAGTCCTAATAAAGGCTCTTAGCAGTGTTCAGTTAGATTCGGAGTTACTAGCCCTCCAGCATCGCTCTAGGCATCTCTTTTGGCACTTCATCTCCCGGAGTTCCTCAGTAAACCAAGGAGCCTTCCTGGATCCACTGCTGCGGATAGGCCGCATAGGCGCAATCCGATCCAGGGCCCCAGACCAGGGACTCTGCTGGAATGTGGGCAAGAGAGTCAGGTATCTCCCCAAGCTCCTTCTGAAATCCCAACGGGTCCAGCAGGTGTCTGGGGCGGAACCACCTAATCGGTTCCACCTTCCTGCAGTGGGGGAGTAGCTTCCCCCATATATTTAGTTTTAGGCACAAGCTATGTGATTCCACAAAATTGTTGCTATTAGGAAACTGGACAATATAAAAATTGTTTCTGCAGTGGGCCTAATATAACAGAATGCCAACTGGTGAAGCCATCCAGATTATTATATGGCTTTGTACATCAACCAGAATTGTTACATAAATCCAGTCATGGTTTAGTTAAACTGCTATGAATGGGGGGCGGGACTTTCCTTTGTATGACATGTGAATCTTGTCACTGTTAAAACTTGCTGTCTTCACTGTTGTCTTCACTGTAACCCTGGATATGTAGGAGAATGGAAGGCATAAGTGCTTGACAAATATTGATTCTAGTTCCTTTTTCAGAAGGAAAACATGAAATATTATAAATTATTCAACTACAAGTCTGACTCTTCCATGTTATGAGATCATGATCTGTGAAAGCATCTTCACAGAACCTTAGATCATTTTTTTTGTAAAAGCATGGCTTACGAATTTTGGGCTACAGAAGTTGCTATAATTCTATTGGAAGAAGGATGAAAATTATTGGGGTTCATTTTGTACATATTATACTATTCCCTATCAAAACAAATAGTGTTAATCATAAGCAGAAAATGAAGAAAAAATAGTAAGGCAAAGGAATTTAGACACAAAATAATAAAAAGGAGGGAAATATAATTAAAATTATTTTTTATCAAAGCATTCTCTATACCTCTTCATACTTTTCAATCCTTGTAAGCTGTATCTTCTTCCTTACCTCCTCATCCACACCTTGCTTCATATATTTCCCACAAATAACTTGATGGCTTATAGAAGTCTAAATTTTTCTGTTTCATTGTTGAAACTTCAACCTGCAACACCACTTCTTTAGGAATATTTCTTTCAGTCAATGTTCCTACAGCAACCTATGTTTGTTTTCTTGTACACTAGAAAAAGTTATTATTTGGACAACTCAAATGTATGCAAATAGAATTTTCAGATATTGGGTAAGTACAACCTGCATTCAGAATGTTAGTTGGATGCCAATATTAAGATGAACCTATTTAAAGAAAAATAACTTAGTTTTATGTAAATGATTATGTAAGTGATGTATAAACTTGGTAAAATGATGCAGGAAGTTTGATTTTCTGCACATGACAACTGCACTTGCACAATTTAAGTTTCTCTTAAATAATGATTGTTTTCTCCAAATGTTTCATATAAAAATCATAAGATAATGCTAAAACTGTCCAATATCTATCAATATTAATTAAATCAGTATAAAGTAGCTTGATTCCAAATTAAGCACCCAAATTCCATGAAGTTGGAAAGAAACAATATTGACTAAATCAAAAGTTATGGTACCAATATAGAAACAAGCAAGATGTGAATGAAAGTAAAAGTAATACCAGAAATTATGAATACATTTATAATTTGGGTAAAGTTTAAATGTATAGTATATGTATCTTATTTTATTCCTCCACATTTTCATATCAGCCATTTAACTGAAAGTACTTTTTTCCCAATAAAAGCACAAAGGTCCCACAATTTCTATTCAACTTCAAAATGAAACTTGCCTTCCATCTTCCAGCTTCAGAACATTTTAAAACATGTTTAGATAAGCTGATTTCTCTCTATAGTGCATCAGGTTACTGACCATATCCAAGCTGGTGCTTACCAAATGTAACTTTCAATTTCCTGAAAATTTGCTTCAACTCAGAGAAGAGGCTTCCATTTTTTTCTGCTCAGGAGGCTTTATAACTTCATGTGAATTTCTTTACAAATGGTTTTTGAACTTCTGTTGAAAAATACATAACTATTATTTTGTGTTAATCGAGGATTATAGCAGTGGCGAAAGAAGCAATCATAACTAATCACTGTCATTAATACGCATCTTGCTTCCTACACTTTATAACTTGAAAGCATCCCAAAGGAGAAAATGCCTCACAACATTTCTCTCTGTTTTTAATTGAAGTGAGGGCAGCCAGGGAGGCTGCAGACCACTGATAGTAAAATTAAATGCTTATTCATCCATATATTACATTCTATATTAATAAAGCATTCATTTTTTAATTTATTTTTTTTTGAAAAATAAAAATTGTGATCAAACTAATTTATCTTGTTCTATTGCTATATGTTGTGTCAATTTTCTTTGCATTTCCAAAAACTTTACATTCATTGCAAAATAATGTGGGTTGGTAAATAAGAATGTTTTCAATAACGGTTATTTTGGAACGAATTAAAATAGAATAATAAAATATACAATAATTTTCAAAATAGCACACAGCTAGATTTAGAAAGTTCATTTTTGATGGTATTGTAAAGGGAAAAAAAGATTTCATAAAGAAAGAAAGCAAGAGGCTGCTGAATATACTCTAATCATATTTTAATGGGCAATGCTGACCCAAGATAGGGAAGAGAGAGAGAAATAAGCAAAGCACTTATTCATGACTTGAGTTGCTTCAAAAAAGTGTAACATCTTTGAGTAAAGTAATATTATTAGAAGATCTGTGTTAGTACAACATATATATAAATAAAATTACACTGCTTTAAGTAAATGAAGATTATGTTTAAGTTAATATTTCTACAAACTGAAACTGATATGAACCTAAGACAATAAAATAAATAGTATTAAAATGTTCTCTAATAGTTATTTAAAGATGTCATATATGGAACATTCCTTTAAACATGGCCTTTAAAAATATTGTGTTAATGGGTCCATCTTCTACATAGAAGCAATGAAACACAAATTACGGGTATTGATACACATGGAGATGTAAATGAGATGGGGGGGACTTCACAAACTTTGCAGAGACAACAGTGGGGCTGGATGTTAATATTTTCAAATCTGGGCAGATTTATCAAGAAAATGTTCAAGTGAAATAAAAAAAATCATGAACAAACAGACTTGGAATATCCAAAATCCAAGTCTGAGTATTTGAGTTTCCAGGGATACCAAAAGCAGCAAAAGCAGTAATTTAATATCAGGTTAAGAGAAAGGTTTAGCTTGGAAAAAAAAAATCCACATCAAATGGGGAGCACACATTTTGTCATCTCTTACCTGTCTGTTGAGAAACCCCCTTGATCCAAGTATAAGTGTAGAGAATGTCCTTAGATAAATCAGAGGCAGAGGTGTGTTTGGCTGGTGCAAACCAAGTCCAAGTACTTCATGCCCAGGTTGGAGATGAAATGTTCAGGGTCCTCTTCTCTAATGGAAAGAGTTCTAGCCAGTTCTTTCCAAAGGCTGCTGCAGCTGCTACTATGCCTTCTGCATTTTCAGAGAGACCAAGTGAAAGGATATGCCAAAGAGCACATTCTTTCTTTCTTTTCTTTTCTCACCCCCTCTCTAATTGTGACTTCAGTTTTATTCTGCAGGCATTAGCAAAGTGGTAGCTGACAGACAACTGTGCTGCTTCCTTCCCGGCTTAAGTGAGTGTGCCTGTGGTGAAAGGAAGGCAAAACCCCCTACCAGAGCATCACATCACTCTGTAGAGAAGAGCAGGAAGAGTGTGCTGTGCTGTTCTTCAGCTGCTTAGAAAAGCCTTAAAGGGATCCAGGCAAAGTCGTTCTTGCTCATCTCCTGGAAGTCTCTCACTGATAACTTATGGGTCACTCTATGCTCTGGGATGTCTTTCTTGTTATTCAGACATCAAATAAACAACATCTTCTGAACTACTAATTTTGATGGGTGGGGGGAGAATTAAATGCCCAGGATAGCTTTTCTGGAAAAAGAAAAGTAATTTCCTATTATGTGGAGAGGGATGTTTAATGCAACTGGAGTTCAAATGTAAGCATGCTCACATAGACTGAGGCTAAAATCAAGCTGCTTAAAATTTTTAAAATATGTTTCACTGTATGGAAGGAAAGAACTGTTGCTTAGGGTAGAAGAACATGTTTTATTCTGAGAGGGCAAAGTTTTGGTGAGCAGGAATTAAATCAACTAGTTTTGGTAGGAGGAAAGAGGGCCGACAACTGCAGTTGGCAAGGCTAAGATACAGAGCGCAAAGAGCATCTTCCTTAATGTCAACACATATGTTATCTTCCTTCTTTCCTTCCTTCCTTCCTTCCTTCCTTCCTTCCTTCCTTCCTTCCTTCCTTCCTTCTCTCCTACCTACCTTCTCTTTTTTAAAATTCTCACCTATCTCATCTTCTATTAGGAAGGTATTCGATACATTAGATCTCTGCAGAATATATTTAGAGCAGGGGTGGGATTCTACCAGTTCGGACCAATTTGGGCAAACTGGTAGCTCCAGCCATCAACTGGGAGCATACCACTTCGCTTCCATAATGAAGTGGGCCCACCAGCCCACCCCTGAACTTAACTCACCTATATCTTCTCAGCTGAGTCAAGGGGGAGAAAGGATTGCCGTGCTTCAGCTGTTTTCCTCCCCAGCATTAATGCGGAAGGTATTTTTTTCTCAAAATTGTGCAGGTGTGTGTGCAATCAAAGCGAGTGCGTACACGCAAAGCATGTGATCACCGAAACGGTTGTTAAACCGGTAGGATCCCACAACTGATTTAGAGCATCATATGCAAAAACTCACAGTAATCAGTAGGAAAGAAAACTTGCAGATGCAAGTAACATTAAAAAAAAAAGGTCATACCACTGCAGTTTTGATCAGCTGTAGTCTGGAATACTTGTCCTTGATGCTGAAATAGGAAGAACTGTATTGTATCTCATAGGAAAACAATTTAAAACTCTTTTTGAATTTAATTAACTGAAAATATTTATCAGCTGACTTTAAACAAAAAGGCGAATTCCAACATAAAGCATCTAAAAATGTCTCAAACTAAAATATTTATATTATAAAGTAACAAAAAATAAGTATTCCAATGTGAAAAACACTTCATCCAGTAATAACAGTTACAATAAATTAGATGTTAAATATTATTGTATTTTGACTTTGATGGTTCTTTTTAAAAAGTCACTAATTAGTTCTATACAAAATTTCATGAAATTGTCACTGACATTGCTTCTTGTTACATAACAGCACAAAGCACATATTTGAAGAGTTCTCAACTGCAGCACTGTGACTTCAAATAGCATTATTATTTTATTTATTATGAAATGTATTTACCAGTCATCTCTTTTCAAAGCAACTCCTTTCTGTAAATGGGTTTAATGCTAAATTACTTTCTTTATAATTTAATTTTTGCTTCCCTAACCAACTACTCAAAGTAGGGGGGGGGGAGGATGAAGGAAGGAAGGAAGGAGGGAAGGGGGAAAGGAAGAAAGGAAGGATATTTCACAGCAGTTAACCCACATGTAACTGTTCTTCTGTGCTTCTGGATGATGATGATGATGATGATGATGATGATGATGATGATGATGATATTAATTTGGTGGTGTTCAGCACTCAGTGATTCTATGGGCCAGGTCTCTCCATATCTTCCTTTTCTACTACTTTTTGAGTTTTTCTATACACTGGCTGGTGTCAGCTTTGATANTGAATGAACACTTGTAGAACTCTTGTCATACATGGTGGGGAGTGAAATAGCACACGCAATGGGACACAAATTGTCTAGTGTGTCTGTGCATGCATGAGTTGACCAATCTCTTAAGTATTTAAGGGTTTTTTGGGGGGACTAATATGCTTTAGCACCAGACATTTCCAAATTATTAGCCTAGCCAAGCTGACTAGAAATTCTGAATGCTGCAATTCCGTCATATCTGAAGGATTCTAGACTGGGGAAGCTTCTGAACCTAAAGTTTCTGTCTGATTGTTTCTCTATTCATTCATCCATCCATCATTACTAAAGAGATGCTAACATTAGAACAGGTTTGTGCACAGATATTTTTAAAAAGTCTGATTTGTGACTTCAATTTGTGTATTGCGGAAAAATAATTAGAGAATATGGAGCATTTCTGTCTGTGAAATTCATTTTGATATGAAAATAGAGCACCACTGGGAAAAATGTCATTCAAGCACATAGAACTGTTGCCACTTGGTTTTTAGAGATGAAAGTAGCATGGCACATTTCAAACAGAAGAAATAAATTCAGTACTCTGGTAGAATTATATCAATGTTAGAGGTTCATTTCTCTATAAGTTTGGGGCTTGACTTTAAGGAACTTACAATTTTCATTTTGACAGCACAGTTAAGCTACAAAAATCAGAATGGAGGCAAAGAACTAAGAATGAAACAAAAATAAGTGGACTTGTGAATAAGTAAAGGTTATCAACAAACAGATATGAATTATGGCTACACTAATCTGAGATTTCTAAAGCCACTGAAACCAGATTGTCATGCTGTTCTAGAAGCAATGTATTAATTGCTCCTTGGGATCTTGAGATTTGTTCAAGATGTTGCATTGGGATGATATACAAAGGAGGTATAATCTATCCAATTTGTTTGACGCAACAAATGAAGAAAACATTGAAGAAGTGATATTGTATAGGCATGCCTTTAAAGGATAATATGACAGATTATTTCTGTACTTACTTTAATTTTAATCTGTTCTTTTTCTCAGCGGCTTTCAAATAGTCAAACTATTTCAAATTTAGATTCATGGCATTTAGCCAATTTTATGAATACTTGAATAAGGCACATGTTGGAAACTATGTTTCTTCACCTGTTACTGAAATAATGGCCAGCATCCCCCAACCCTGTGATTGGATCTTATAGTAGTTCTTCCCAAAACATCTGGATTCAGTGGTTTGTAAACTCTACTATAAATTGAGTAATTGTGAAGCTTTCATTGACTGCAAGGCTTATTAAATGGAATCACCTATAATCACCTTTTCCAAATAATATTCTCTATCAATGGACAGACAATGTACAGTATCTGTTAATAAGATGTAAATATTGCATGTTCTAAATCCATATCCATTGACAGCCAATTAGGGAATAAATCAATGTGCATGCACAAGCTTAATTTCCCAATGTTTCTCACTATTTGCTTTGGAAACTATTAATATAGTGCTGGCATTTCAACCTTCTTTCATCTATCCAATTCTAATGTCATTCCACAACCTTTTCTTCTTAGAAATAACAACCAACCATGTACTGCAAAGATTCTAGTTGGGTTTATATTCCCATTATTCAAATAGATAAATGGAAAGTTTCTTCACCTTATTCCTGTCACCATATCACAAAATAAAATGGATTAGTGGTCGGTTGGCTTGTTTTTCATTCTAACAAACAGACAATGGCTGTAGAAAAAAATTCAAGTGGAGATTAATTTGATCATGACTGTAACTAAGAAGACATAAAATGTTTCAAAAAGGAGCGATCTATTTTAACGTTTGTAAAATATTATTACTAATTTTGCAGGATTATTGTTGCGCTAATCTATTGGTACAACAGCAGTGATAATCTACAGCTACGTACATTCAGTGAACCCAACAAATGTGAGATAAACCTGATATCTGGAAGAGTAAAAATGAAAAAAAGTCAGTGTTATAGACACATTTGCTCATTTAATTTCTACATACAAAATGGTTTTATGGTGTTTGAATGAAAATTCTTTATTGAAAATAATCTCAAATAACTATAAAAATTTAAACTTTTCTTCTTTTTTTTACTGTGACCAATGTTTATCTCTTTCCAATCAAGCAACTGGAACCAGACATTTCACTGGGCTCTAAATACCAAATCAATAGCATTGAACACAGACTGCTTTCTTATCTAGCTATCAATAAAAGTGAGAAGGAAAAAAAAACCCTCTGTTTTCCTTTAAATGGAGTCAACTAAAAGGAAAACTTAGCCAAAATCTATTCACATTTTGCTCAGTGCCAACCTTGGAGTGATAGGAATTAACAAGTGTCAATTCAGATAGGAGGACCGGTCTTCTGCAATGTTTTTCTGCTGACAAAGTGCTGAAATGCAACTATTTGATGAACAACAAAACTGCTGGCTGAAATAGGGGAAAGGATGAAGCATGATGTTTGCAAAGAACAAGGAAAAAAAAACTTTCATTGACCATTTGTCATAGCTAAGTCCAAGACCATCCACCGTCCATCCCCACTCGAAAAAAAGAAAACCAATGAATGATTTTTAAAGAAATAAACACATATTTTTACTGTGTTTAAGGCTTTACAGCTAATATCTCAATATATTCATTTCTCTGGAGAGGGTTAAATAGAATGTCCATATAGCTTATGCTTTGGGTGTGAAAGAAAATAGGACATCAGCAAAATAACAGAAGTCTGTTTCTTCCTACCTTGATAAAAAGTAAAGAGGACAGGGAAGAAATAGGAATCACTTATTCCCCCATTTATCTAGCTAAGGGAAAATTGTTTGATGAGGATTTCAGTACCATTCTATTGTATCTAACTAAATGAATTAGCCCTTTAATTAACTATTTAACAAAATAATTTCACTAACTATATATAACTGTTCTGACCCCCTCCTCCGTCCAGTAACACATATCGAGACAAGCTTAAATGAGAGTGTCCTTTAATAACAAGTTCAGATTCTCGGT